CACACACACACACACACACACACACACATACATATACCAAGAACATTCTTCGATAATAATTCTCGATAGGCACGCTCACCCTAATTGCTCGTTAAGGATGCATAGTCTGTTCGTCACAAGATGAGTAATTATTGTTGCCACTTCAGCGTAATTATCTTTCCTTCTCCTATTCTAATTTTATACGGCATAATCGCTTTTTCACGTAAAAATTTAAACACAGCCCACGCGTTTTTTGAGTGAAATAAAATTTGTTCGCAAAAATTTTTATATAACCGAAAGAAAATATTTCAAAGTTTCGCGAGATTGTTTTTATTCGCGTGCCTCTTCAAAGTAATAGAATTTAATCGATTTTCTTTTTATGAGAGATTCTATGGAAATATAGTTCACATTAGTTTTTTTATTAATATCAAATAGCTACGTATATTATTTTCTTTCGCAAACGATTATCAACCGAGTGGAACGATTAAAATTGAATACACCCGAATAAACGTTGCCGCGAAAATTATCTTAACGAGATATCTCGCAATTTCTAAGTTCAAGGAAAACGTTACGAGATAATATCGCAAAATTTTCCAAATCGGTTTAAAGAGATTGTCATCTAACGTACACACACGCACAAATACAAATACGCATACGTGAAAAATATGGAACAGGATGATCACAAAATTCACTTGAATGAAATCTAACGAAGACAAAATTAAAAAATACTATAACAGATAATTGTGCGTACGCGTATGTGTTTATATAAATTACATACACTCATATTACATATTTCCTAATTGACTTAAACAATTTGTGATCAATTATTTAACGAAGGAATAAAACAAAAAATTGCATATCGTTTTTCAATCAAGTTTTTCCCATTTTCCTACTTCCCCCAATTCCCCATAAATCGATTCCTTTCTGCAAATTCAACGAATTTAAACAACCCTTAAACATCCAGCCATCTTCTCTCTCTTTCTCTCTCTATCTCTCTCTCTCTTTCCTTCATCTTCTTTTCGTCTGAATTATTTCGTCGGATAAATTCTGACGTTAAATTTTCGACTAGGAGAATCGTTTAGTTCGTCGACGTTATACGAAAAGCCTCTTTTCGCGACACGTTTAGGAATTCTTAAATGCTGTCACACACACATTTTCAAAACTCACACCCAGATAGATAGATACACACACACACAAAGCAAACACACATACATACAGAATTTAGAGTTGACGTCGACGCAATTAACGAACGGACGTCAGTTTTGTTCGTTTTGTAAGAACGATTAACCAAAACTCTGTGTGAGAGAGAACTTCGTTACACTTAACTTATGAAAATTTATCTGAAACGAGAAGAAAAGCAAATGGTTCTCTTGGTTAGTGAAAATGGTTTTGTGAAAAGAGCTGAAAAATATAGGAATGAGGATGGGATGAGGAATAATGGGGATGAGGGAAAAAGGGGAATCTTTTAAACGGTAGAACTTGACGAATAATCGATGCATACGTCTATTTATTTATTCATGTAACGTATGCATATGTTATTCTAGATAAATACAAATATCGGCTCTTTGTAATCCGTATTAATTTACATAAATAAGTATATGTATATAACTGGGCATATATGACGTTACATCAAAATCCATGATTTTTTTCCATTTCCTATCTGTAAAATAAACGACACGATTTTATTACGACATATCATTAATTATTATTAGTAATATGTGTATAAACGAAGAAAAAAAAACTAATATTAAAAATTATAAGAATTATATTATGTATCATATTTGAAATTTATTTCGAACAATTTTATTATTTATATTTTATAAATAAAAAAAAAAACAAACAAATCTTAAAAAGATTATCTCCAAATTTATATTATTACCGTTGGCAAATATTTGTCTCGATCAAATTGCAACGCAAAATAATCTTAAATATATATCAAAGTACTAATATTAAAAAATGATTCGTATAAAAGAATATTTAGCAATTATTTAAGAAAATACATTACCGAATACGTGTTCACATTTAAACCTCATCATCAAAAATGGAAGCACCGTCTATCGCCGTCGGAAGGAAAAGTTACGGAGTCGAATCGTAACTCGGTAAAAATTCAAAATGAAATCCACGAAATTTAGTTTACGCGGCACACACGAACGGGGAACACGTATGATATATTTCGGTATCGATATTATCATTCTCGACAAGAAAAATCTTCTTGCACGCTAGACGTCTGTATAGTTGTATAATACTATATATACACATATACATTACATATTTATATATATATATATATATATATATATATATATGAAATATATATATACATATATTTAAAATACATAAACATAATCTTTTGCATGGCACGAACAATACTTAACGTAAGCTTATTGACTTCTTTATCTACGAGCATGCATGTATCAAATGTATACCTGTGTCTATAATTGTGTATTTAAAAAAAAAAAAAAAAAACCCTATAGAGAAGGCATAATAATCATGCTGCTATAAAGCTGAGAACAAGTTTACCATAAGAGAATAAGCGTTTCTCACGACCCTAAGTGCATGTCGTATTAAGATTCTAGCGATAGCTTCTTGTGTGTCGTGATTAAGCCCGATAAAATTTATGAACGAATTTACTTCCCCCCACCCCATCCGATCCTTTTTCTCTTATCCCTGCCCCACCACTACCGAGAGAATAAAATCGGTACTGAGCCAAACCCACCATTTTTACGCCCCATCCTTTTTCTTTATTTTCTCAAACTCCCCTCGAGCGTTTTCCTACTTTTTTTTCTTTTTTTTCTTTCATCGTTAAATAGATACTTACGTATGTTCAATATTTTGTTACTTCATTAACTGTTAAAAAAAAAAAAAGAAAATAATAATTCGATGTGTTAAACGTATAACATGTCACCTCCTAATTATTATTCGTTATCGGTGTGTTTAATCGTTCCATTTAATTTCTTGATTATTATAGCACGAATATTAGAAGAAAAATTATAATAATATAATTCGTGTGTTGGTTAAAATATAAATCGTTTATCATTGTCTCTGTCTATTTGTTTTGTCTATCTGTCTGTCTGCCTGTCTGTCTGTCTCTGTGTTAAACGCCATTTATTTAACACGCACTCGCTGTAACGCACAAGTAAGTATCGAAGCTTTCTTCTCTCTCTCTCTCTCTCTCTCTCTCTCTTTCTCTCTCTCTCTCTTTCTTTCTTTCTTTCATTCTATCATTTTCTCTATTAACTATTTTTCTTAATCTATCTTTCTTTCTCTTTGAATCTTTCTCTCTATCAATAATTAATATAATATAATGCAATATAATATAATACTAATCGATTTTCTCGATTAGCGCAAAATTTGTTTGTTGATCCGTTATCGTTGTCGCTTTTATTATAATATATTTTCACATATTCTTGTTTTATTGCTAACAAAATTATCGCTAAATTACACGCTCGACATTTTCTGCCAATTCACCTCTTTTCACTTTTTTCGGCTTTATATTATATATCTTTCTTTCTCTTTCTCTCTCTCTCTCTCTCTCTCTCTCTCTCTCTCTCTCTCTCTCTTTGTCTTTCTTTCTCTCTTTTTCTTTCTTTCTTATTCTTTTTAAAATACTATACTCTTATATTTTCGCAACACATCAACGTTTCCTGCTTTAAAACCGCAAAGAAATCTTTTCTCTATCTCTCGTCAAACGAGATCAGACTTTTCGAAGCGTGCGCTAAATCTGGCTGGATGTACGTGTTATGTATGTATGTGTGTGTGTGTGTGTGGATAGGTGCGTGTGTATTTGTGTGTATGTGGGTATATGTGTTAATGTCCAACCAACCCACGCCCACGCGCGCACATACACACACACACATATATACATACGATAATATAATATAACATATAAACGAGTGTCTGTGAAAGAGTGAACATGAGGTGTGTGATAAGTATTTTTTTATATTTCTTTCTTTTTTCATTTTAAGAAGTAATATAAAAAAAAAACGTATATTTGAAATATTTCGATATGCGATGGGTTTATCTCTTTCTAAATCTATTTCATCTATTTTTTCTATCTATCTCTATTTCTTTCTCTCTCTCACACTCTCTTTCTCTCTATTTTTCTCGCTTTCTCTTTTTCTCTATCTAGTTTTTTATCATTTCTTCTTTTTTTTTAATATCTCTTATTCTTATTCTATCGAGCAACGCGTTAAACAAATTCGTAGACTCAGACGGAGATCTGTTTTTTTCCTTTCTTTGTTTCTTTTTTTTTTTTTTATATCTTTGTCCAATCCTCCACCCGTTCTCATGCATGGAAACAAAAATGTCAGTATTAAGAAGGAAAGAAAAAAAAAAAAAAAGAAAGAAAAAAAGGATTCGTCCATAGTGATCGAATTCTTTTATTCGATCGAGTCTACGAATTTGCGCTACGGTTTCGGATAATAAAAAGTTTTCCCTTGCGCTACTCGTACACGTTTCAACGAGATCGAAGGATCAAATTTTTCTTACTTATGGAGAAAATAATTAATTATTGAATAAATCAACACACAACACAGGGAAGAAAGCCGAATGATCAATGAAATCTCGCTTCGTGTGTGATGAGAATATAAAAACTAAAAAAGAACGAACGCGAAAAAGATCGTCGAATCTTTCTCGAAATGAAAAACAAAAAAAAAAAAAAAAAGAATGGAAAATGAAAATGAAAAAAGAAAGGAAGGAATGAAAGAAGGAAAGAACGGGGGGGGGGTAGGTAGGGGTGGGGGGGGGGAAACGATTCGACGATTATTTCGGAATCGTTGTTTAAAATTGCGTGTTGAGATAACACCGTTTAAAAACTAAAAGGCAAAGAAAAAAAAGAAAAAAAAAAGTAAAGCAGCGTGAAAAAAAAAAGAAAAGTAAGAAAAAGGTAAATCCAATCATTTCCGTGACTAATCGCCTGTTCTCTTGTCTTTTCTCCGGGGGATTTTCGGAAATTCCTCGAATTCAGGGTCGTACTTCAATTGCATCATGTTCATGGTGGCGAGCAGCGTCGTCTTGACCGTTATGGTGCTAAATTATCATCACAGATCGCCCGACAGATACGTCATGCCTAATTGGGTAAGAATTCATTATCAAATTTAATTGCTTCAAGGTTGTGGACGTTAACGTGTTTAACGTGTATTCCATTCTATCGTTTCTCGGTCTACATACACACATATATAATACACATAATGTATATATGTATGTATGTATGTATATATATATATATGAACGTGTACATATGCACTTAACTATAAATCTAAATAGGAGAGAAAACTTTGGTAGACTTTATTCAGAATTTTATGATTGTTTTTCGTGCATTTAAACTTTTACCGAGATTTCGAAATAATGGAAGCATAAACAAACGACGATTTCAACGACGCTTTGTTTTATAAAACGTCTTATGCGTTGCATCATAACCGACATAGTGGCCGTTAGACCATTAAAGACTATGCTTTAGTTTGTGAAAGTTTAAAGTGCCTTCAAGGCGTTGATCCTCCTTCTTGGTCGGTCGGTTACTAGAACTTTCATAAACCAAGAAGAAATGTTCTTCGGGGCCAAAATGCAAGAAAAAGGAAAATAGAACTACACTCTCTTACGTTTTTATTTTATTTTTTTTTTTTCGAGAGAAAAAGAAAGACCCTTTCTTTAAATATATTTCTTTTTTTTTTTTTTTTTTAATTTATTTTTTATATAATCCTCCGCGTAACGCAATGTCACTTTAAATTTCAACAATGTTTTATATGATTTCTTCCTTCCATTATATTTTATCACAATAATACGATTATTTGAATTTTCTATACGTTGAAATTTTGTCCATCCAAGTACAAAAGTTATATTCAACATTTCGTTCAATGATTAATTTCAAATCTGACACATTTATTTGATTAAAAGAAAAAAAAAAAGAAATAAAAAATGTAATTCAACTTTAGATCAAAAAATATCGATTTCGTGATTGAATTTAATTAATTCGAACTTGACCGCGTTAGTTCTTCTTGAACGTTTCTTCTTGCCAAATAAATATAAAAGAAGAAGAAAAAAAGAAGAAAATGTGAATAAAAATTGTTTTAATGATCGATCCTATCGTAGATCAAAAAGCTGTTCCTACAGTGGCTGCCATGCATACTTTGCATGAGCCGTCCTGGCAAGAAGATCACGAAGAAGAGTATCCTGGTGAGCAATCGGATGAAAGAACTCGAGTTACAGGAGAGAAGCAGTAAGAGCTTACTGGCGAACGTCTTAGATATCGATGATGATTTTCGTCATGGAAACAGTGCTGCCAATCCAGCTACCAGTTACATAAGGTTCGATCTTGTGTCTTTTGCAAATAAGTTTGTACATATATGCGATATATACTATCAGTACCAACAGTCTGCATTCTAAAACCTTCTGTGTGTGTGTGTGTTTGTGTATGTGTGGTGTCTATCTATACCTATACCTAAATTTGGATCAATTTCTCTCAATTCGGAACAAAGTTCGAGCTTTATGTAAATTTTCTGCCATACGTTCTGTTCTCTATCTCTATCTATATCTATATCTCTATCTCTATCTCTATCTCTATCTCTGTTTCTCTCACTTTAAAGCCTTCTCTATATTCGTCTACCTTCGTATTCATATTCAGTATTACGCTGTGCATTCCAATGAAATACCAATATCCGATACGCTTGTCAAATAACGATCTCCTTCAGTCAGAATTTATCTGACGTTAACAAAGTACAAAAGAGTTTATTGTCGAACTAAAGAAATAATTATTATTAATATAGAGAAAGAGAGAGAGAGAGAGAGAGAGAGAGAGAGAGAGAGAGAGAGAGAGAGAGAGAGTGATTTATGTAATTAAATAAACACTTAATCGTTTCTATTAACAAACGTTTATCGTTTAACATCATTGTTAATATTTGCTTATCGATTATAATAACATAAAATTAATATATATAGAGAGAGAGAGAGAGAGAGAGAGAGAGAGAGAGAGAGAGAGAGAGAGAGAGTGATTTATGTAATTAAATAAACACTTAATCGTTTCTATTAACAAACGTTTATCGTTTAACATCATTGTTAATATTTGCTTATCGATTATAATAACATAAAATTATATCCTTGATATCGGAAACTATTTTAAACAATTCAAATACGCATAGTATTATTATGCTTGATATTTGCATTACTTAAATAAATATACCATGAACAGTTAGCATGAGTGTTGATATTAGCCGCGAATTATACGACTTCTATTATCCAAACGTTTCCATAATAAACGATCCTTCTCTTATATATTTGATACGCTTATACGTTCATCTGTCTGACAAATAAAACTAAAAAAAAAAAGTTTGCAAATACCCCGTTGGTACGACATTTAAAAGAAAAAAGAAAATAAAAGAAAAAAGTAAAGTGAGTAAAATTGATCCAAAGAAATTTGTCCGAACGAACGATTTCCATTGGATTTTGATGAATTTGTTATTTTTTACAGTAGGTCGGCGTACGGCACGCCATTGTCCGGACGACCGGCTACGGTCGAAGAAACGTCGGCATCGTTACCTTTAAGCGGAATGCAAAGAGAACTTCACACGATTCTCAAAGAATTACAATTTATCACGAGTCGTATGAGAAAAGCCGACGAAAACGACGAAGTGATTAACGATTGGAAATTTGCTGCCATGGTGGTCGACAGGTTGGTTCTTTGTGTGTTTTCTTTTATTATTTGCTTAATTTTTACTGCTTTTTAAAATCTCAAGAAAAAAAAAAAAGAAAAAGAAAAAAAAAGAAAATTAAATGACTAATTTAATTATCAATATTCTTGTCCAGAAATATATTATTAATATAAGTCTCAAAGGGAATTTTAGACGGTTGTTAAATCTTATGAACAATTTGATTACGTGTGATAAGATAAGGTGTTTAGGAATAAATTGTATTGTAATATGTTAAGTATTATTGAAATGTATGACTCTGTAAAAAAGATAATATGTATTGACACGTGAACTGTAAAGATCAAGTTGCTGATGAAGTCCCCAGTAAGGGACGAAACGTACAACTAGTTCAAAATAAATTGTTCATAAGATTTAACAACCGTCTAAAATTCCCTTTGAGAGACTTATATTAATTAAATGACTAATATTTTATATTTCGTATTTTTAATTTCACAAATATTCTCGTCGCTTGTCAATCAATGAAGGTTGTGCCTGATCGTCTTCACGTTATTCACGGTGCTGGCCACGGTCGTAATACTATCTAGTGCGCCACACATAATCGTCCACTAATAGACTGCCCGGTCTTGACACCGAAGAAATGCACAAAAACGTCGCTTAAATAGCGCCTCCTCGAATTTGGTAAGAACTTTTCCCATGAATTAACGTTACGAAAATATTATTCCATTTAAGAGAATTTTGTTTTCGTAGGTATATATATATATATATTAAAATCTTAAAGAAAAATCAATGAAATTATTGGATAAAGGATCATTGCTTTTTATAATCTCTCAATATACTATATTATATTAAATTTGATATATTTATTCGATAATCTATTTCTTAACACTAAACGTACATTTTACAATCGGTCAAATGTTACATTATAAATTATAAATTTTCAAATTTTGTATTTTTCATATTATTCTATTATTCTTTTTCATTAAACTTTACTTCCAATTTTAATATTAGAATTTATATTAAACCAAAAGAAACGTAAAAAAAGAATAGAATTTAATCACAGGCATTTATAGATGATCTAATGTGTGTCAGTAGTAAAAGTCAAGCATTTGTAAACGGTCAGACATGTGAGTAGTAAAAGCCAACCTATCGAAATATGATGAATTAATATCGTTGTTTGACTTGTATATTTGATCGATTGCAATATAAAAATACGTATGTAAATTTAGTGTTTAATAAAATAACATATTATGTTTCTCTTTTAACGTCAATATCAAGTGATAGATATCACTAAAAAAAAAAAAGAAAAAAAAGAACAAATCACAAAATTCGTGTGTCGCACATTTCCCCTCTTCCTTCTCTCTTCCTCAGAAGCAACGTTCGCGGGACGCGTGATTTGCGGGACCGATTCTATTACTAACAAGAGAAAGAGAAATAGAAAGATCGTAAGAGAAAATGACATAAAAAATAGATAGATAAAAAGAAATATAACGAAAGAAAGGAAGAAAGAAAGAAATAGTGAGATAGATAGAGAGAGAGAGAGAGAGAAAGAGAGAGAGAGAGAGAGAGAAAGAGAGAGAGAAAGAGAAAAGAGGAAGAAGGAAAACAACGATGGAAGAAAATAAGCCATGGACATAGTACGAGAGGAAAATGAGAGCTTTCCAATTGACAGCAAAGTTTCGCAAGCTTTTGGAAGGGGACTAATACATTAACTGGAAATCTGTTGGACACCGAACGTGCGTCGTCATCGTCGTCGTCGTCGAACAAACTTCCCATCTTCGTCGTACCTTTCGTTTCATCGGTTTTAATTAAAAGAAAAATCAAAAACAATGATAATAAAAAGAAAAAATAAATAAAGAAAGAAAGAAAGAGAGATAGAGGGAGGGAGGGAAAAGAAAGAAAAAGAAATGTTCGATTAATCCAATTTTTCAAATCATTTTTTCTGTTGTTAGATACTAATTTACAAACAAAAAAAAGGTTAGAAAAGATAAAAAGATAAGAAATGAAAGGGTAAAAAAAGAAATTCTATAATAGTCGAAAAATCGAAGGGGGTGGGAGGGGTAGGGTTCGTTAATGAAATTTCGATAAGGTTCGAATTAGTTTTCATATACTTATTACTTTCACTTGATTTCTTTCAGCCCCATACTCCACCTCTCTTTAACAACTATTTCTCTTTCTCTCTTTATTTTTCCATGCGAAAGAAGAAAAGTAAAAAAGATCGGAAAATGATTCGGATTCTTCGCGATACGCGCAATCCTCGAACGAACAAACGAATGAACGAACGAACGTCGTCGTTAAAAAAACCCGGCCTTTCACGGCACGTCAATAATGATAATAATAATAATAATAATAATAAATAAATAAATAAATAAATAAATAAATAAATAAATAAATAAATAGTATAAATAGCTAAAGAAAAAAATATTATATTCGAATCGCTTAGCGCGCGCGCTCTCGCTCTCTCATGTTTCCCTAAAAAAAAAAAAACATTACACACACATATATAATAAATATATAAATATAAAAGAATAATTATATATATATTAATATTTATATGAATGTGTATATAATTAATATATATATATATTATGGTGGTGCGCGCGCGCGCGCGCCTGCGCGACCGAGCTCGTAGATAAGCGTTTAATATCTTCGAACAACTGCCAAATAAATGGAGGAGCTCTCGTGTCAGGGGTGACCAATATATGTATATCGTTTATTCGAGATCGATCGATCGATCAATTGATCGATCGATTAAACGAACAAACGAATGAACGAATGAACGAATGAACGAACGAATAAACGAACATATGAATGAGCGAACGTGAATGAAAAATAAACGGATCGTCGATCGATATTCTTGAGAAATCGATTTAAATCGTATAGATCATTCGTGAAAGTTCACTTTTTTTTGTTGTTTTTTTTTTTTATGAAAAAGCGAGTACAAAAGATAATGAAAATAAAGAAAAAAATGTTACTGATATTAATAATATATTATATGTATTTTAATCGAATCGTCTTATCAACTCGCTAAAAAGTAAAATAAAATTTCACGAACGATCTGGGCGCGTAACTTTTTTAAATTTTTGTGTATTAACTTCTCAAGAACGTCGACGCGGGTTACGATCGAGTCGATCGTATTGTAATAAACGATCGATCGTGGAAAAAAGGATTAAGGATAAATAAAAAATAAAAAGAAAAAAAATTAAATAAATAAAGGGCTTGTGTGTGTTGATGATATTGGTTATTATAGATATGGAAGTTAAAAAATGAACTTGTAGACAAAACTGCCAAGTCGCCATCACCCCTGCTTTCCGTACAGAGATAAACTCGAATTATTATCGAATTTTTCATCGGCGAGAAGGGTCTGATTGTGAGAGAAAGAAAGAGAGAGAGAGAGAGAGAGTGAGAGAGAGAGGTGGTAAAAAAGAGGAAGAAAAGAAAAATGAGGGGATAGAAAAAAGAAAAAAAAATGATAATGTAAGAATCATTTTCCGAGCGATAATTTCGGATGAATGTTCGACACGCGTCGAAAGAAACCGACAAAGCTTTGGTAAGAAAGTAAACAAAAAAATTTACTCTCCTACCTTCTTTTTTATTTGCCCTTTTTTTTTTCTTTGCTTCATCTTCATCTTCTTCTGCTTCTTCTTCTTCTTCTTTTACTTCTCTTCTTCTGCTTCTTTTTTTTCCAACTGAAAAAACTTTATCTCGAAAGAGTCGAGGCCATCCATGGTCGCCCATCGTCCTCGTGAAACACTTTACGTTCTGTACTTTGCCTTTTATTACCTACCAGCTGGATATTATTTGGCTTCTATAACACACCTTGCGGCGTGGAAACGAGTGCCACGCAATTTGTTGTTAGATCGTATAAACGCGAATGGACGAGCGGGTTAACGTTTAACAATATCAGAGAAAAGGATACTTTCGTGATTATGTTTAGACGAGACTATAGTTTAAATGAAGAAAGAAAGAAAGAAAGAAAGAAAGGGCTACGTTATACAACGTGTTCGTTTATCTCTTAAACACAAATATCACATCCCAAAACAATAACGCGTTTCAAATTTTAAAATACAAATTTTTGTCTTTATTATTTATTAATTATCTATAACCTTTGTGATTTTTTCATATAGTGAGAAAAGAATTGCTAAAATTTTGTTAAATTTTTTTACGATACTCGGTGATAGACACTTTTTTTTTTTTACATTATTTTGAATATATTTAGTATCGACGTGTGTCTTCTGATTCGTAAATAAACGAAATCATATGGTATGTGGCAGAAAGATTTATGCGACGTTTCGATTTGGTGAAAAATTTGAGATAAGCTCCTCGAGGAATAAGGCTCGCGAAAAGTGCTGCGAAAGTCGTAGAATAATTCGGATCATAAAACTTGACGGATGGTGTTAAGGAAAAGAAGGTAACTGTGAAAATACGCGAAAACGTATGGCATTGATATAATAAACGTTTGTCTCGGTCTCGCGAATTTCAACGAATTATTTCTTCACGAAATTTAATTTGTTATTTTTTATTTCTTTTTTTCTTAACAAGAAAAACCAAATTACGTATTCGCGAGAAAATATATATTATTTTTTCTTTCGACGTTTGCATTCGCGTTTTAATATAAAAAATTAGAACAAAAAATCTATTTACGAATCTGGCCCGCGATATTATATTCCAAAAGTTAATACGTAAAATACAACAAACGTAAAATCGATAAGGGCGTTAAGTGCACAAATATATGTAGTTTCTAACCGATCGAATAATCATTTAAAGTTTAACTCGTAAAATGACTTCGGTAACGGACATCGTATAGATAAATGCTAGGAATGACGATCGGTGGTGTAGCTACGCAAACGAATTTACTTCAAACTCGTTTAAAGCGTCGAACTTTAGGACGAATGGTCGACCTTTATGGAACGTTATGAATTGTATCTATGAATCCTAGTTATTAAAGAAAAATCGAAATCGAGTTTGATTGGAAAATCATATTAGCATATAACTTGTATTTAACGTAAAGTCATTTTCTTGAAACCTTCAGATTAATCGAATATCGTTCGTATTTCTAAAATGAAATTGCGACGAAAATAGAAAGAAAATAATTAAATTCATAAATTCGCGATTATATTCGTTAAAAAATGATGTGAAGTTAAAAAATGAATGAAGAAAATACAAAAAAAAAAAAAAAAAAAAAAAAGAAAAAATACAAAACCCTTCTCGTTGGATTGGGAAAATACTGTACGGAAGGACAGAGTGATATTTAAAAATCGTTCAAACGACGCGAAAAACATAATAAAGAGTAATATTGAAAAGTGTTCCGATAAAATAATACTCAAAATAAATAAAATATGTAAATAATGGACGTTCGAGTGGCGCGGGACTCAAGTTTAATAATCAAATTTTCGAAACAAAAAAAAAATGAAAAAAAAAAAAAAGCGACAGAATATATATTCCAGTCGCGTATAATATTTCTCTCTCTCGTCGCATGCGATTTGAAACGTAATTTAACGATATAAGTCGCGAACATGATCGTAATTCGCATAATCGTTACGATTTTACAAGCAGACGTATGAAGTTTTTCTTTTGCGTCTCGCTAAATAATAATAATAATAATAATACTAATAATAATAATAATAATAATAAATTGTGGAATAATAAGATGTAAACGCGAAAGAAAAAGAAAATATAATAATAAATGAATGAATAAAAAGGGATAGAAAAAAAATAAAGGAAAGAAGCGAAAGAAAAATATGAAAATTAAAAATGTGGAGAAAAGAAAATAAAATAAAAGAAGAAAGACGAAAAATTAAGAAAGAGAAAATGAGGGATCGTCTTCGAGATGATCAAATTTCAATGATTGAATGAACGAAGCTTCGAAATCTCATTAATACTCGTTTGATCAATCAACAACCTTTTCAAAATTCGTGCAGCGCACCGTCAATTGATGGGACTCTCGTTTGCGATCTTAGACAATCATTTATCGCGTTTCGGAAAATGAAAGGATTCGTTTTTTTTTTCTGTCCTTTTTTTTTCTTTCTTTCTTTTTTTTTCATTTTCACGAGAAAGGAAGAAAAAAAAGAAAAAAGGAAAGATAAAGAGAAAAAAATTTCGAGAACGATTTTCTTTTTTTCCGATATAACAACGAAACATAACGTAACGATATGTTTTAACGTGGATTATTATCGTCGGAATGAACAAATATTTGCTCTGAAATATATAAAAAAATAAATAAATAAGAAAAAAGAAAAAAAAGTAATAATACGAAAAAAAAATAAAGAAAAACAGACGCGACGCTTTCGGTACATTATTAAAACACGCATTTTTCTCTTACAATTAGTCAACGCGTATATATATATATATTATATACATAATATATGCATATAAATATATATATTGTTGCTCTTTAAAGTTGTCGTCGCTTGACAACAATATATATATATATATATATGTATGTATATATATCTCTCGATAAGTATACGAACATGTAATTAACGACG